CGTGCGCGCGTGAACAGCAAAGTCAGGTTTCAGAATTAATAAAAGCCCTGGTGGTGTAGTGGGCTGCAAACCACAAAGTTAGCTCTGTGAGAGGAAGCCGAGGCTTTTTACTCGTAAAGATGTACAGTCTTGGAAGCCCACAGGGGTCTCAGGCAGTTAGATTCTGCCCTATAGGGTCACTGTGAATCAGAATCGACCAGATGGCAGGGGGTTTGAAGATTTTTTGGTATGTTAAACCATTAGACCCCGTCAGTGACCAGAGGGTTTTGAAGTAAATTACTTGGATATGATAGTGATAGGTGGGGTTTTAATCAAACCAGTGAGGTCGAAGAGACAGATTTCCCTAAGACTCGGGGACTGTGGCACTCGAGAAAGTGTTCAGTACATCAGTTTTCCCGGCTTCCAGGGGAAAAGTCACCAACTGTTCCTAAAAATACTTCCCTTCTAATATAGGTCTACCAGGGCAACTGTTGTTAACGTCATTGTGTTGTGGAGCCTGCACATAGACCAAGAGGCAGTTGTTGAAACAGAACAAGTGGACCCCAGATGGTTGAACATCAGGAAAGGTGTGGTCTGGGTTGTATTCTTCCACCATACTTACTCATGCTGGGCTGATCGTTCGGTAAACTGGACTGTCTGACGAAGAACGTGGTATCAGAACTGGAGGAAGATGCATTAACAACTTGCATTAATGCAGATAGCATGAGCTTGCTTGGTGGAAGTGAAAAAATACTTCCTGATGAAAATAAGAAACAACGGCCTTCACTGTGGATTACACCTCAATGTAATGAAAACAAAAACCTGTGTTGTACAGCTGGGCCAATACGTAGCATCATGATAAACAGAGAAAAGATTGGAGTTGTTTTAGGTTTTTGTGTTACTTGGATCTGCAATCAGCTCCCATGGAAGCAGGAGTCAAGAAATCAAATGATAGACTTCATGAAAGTGTTAAAATGCAAAGATGCAACTCTGAGAGCTAAGGTGCACCTGGCCCAAACCATAGTGTTTTCAGTCACCTCATATATGTGTGAAAGAGCTCTACAGTCAGAACGTTTCTTAGAAGCTAGGACAGCAAGACTTTGTCTTGTGTATTTTGCTCATGTAATCGGGGAGGGAGGGGGTGGCTTGGGGGGTGGGAGCCAGTCCTTGTAAAAACATGACTGAGAGAGTAGAGGGTTGGCAAAAATAAGGGAAGAACCTCAACAAGATTTCAGATTGATTGGCACAGTAGTTGCAACAATGGGCTCCAACCTGGTGACAATTGTCACCAGGATAGCGCAAGACCAGGTAGGGTTTCGTTTTGTTATCCAGGGTTGCTGTGATTTGGAACTGACCTGATGACAGGTAACAACCTAACAGCAGGTTGAACCTTATGGTCAGAAAATGTTCCCAAGTGTGTAAGTGAGTCTGTTTTGTTTGAGTTACACTAGGAGTTTTGAGTGTTGAGCCAGCTGTGGTGTTGGCGCGGGGCGCCCAGGTGTCTCCAGCACTGGCCATTTGCCTCACCCTACTCCCTTGGTAAGTGATGTGTTTGGAGTTGGACTGGAGTGCTGGTGGCTCTTAGCTTTACATGCCTACCCCTCTGCACCACATAGATGGGGTACACAGCCGGCTGGCCTCTTTGAGCACCGAGCTTGGGTGCCTGATCCCACAGCTATGTCTGCCTCTCCCTGCCACACTCACAGGCCTGTATTTGCTGACACGTTACACAACAGTGGGTGGAACATCTTGGAATTGTTTCTTGTGGGCTTAGTTTATAAAGGATTTTAGGACTGATTTCTTGAGCAAAGGCTAGGAGTCATGCATTACTCCAGATGTGTCTTAAGAGCACCATCCTAAGCCTGTTGCCTTATCATGGACAGGTTTGTGTCACAGATGAATGGTCGTCACTTGAAGCCATGAACACGTTTCATCTTCCTGATTCTCGCTGTGCTGTTTTTTGGAAGATGTGGACATCTGGATTTCTGCCTGATGTCCCTACTTTGTACCCAGGAGTAGCTGTAACCGAGATGGGCTTTTGGGTTCAGTCTCTTTGTGGACAGCGGACTCTTGATCACAAAACATAGCATCGCCAACTGGATTCTGTAGAGCAGCGGGCCTGGAGAGACACTGACAAGAGTGGCTGTTATGGTCAGCCACAGGAGTTTGTAGGGTTGTGGCTCCACCTCATACGAGAGGAGAGTTCTTTCAGCTCCTACCCACAAGCCCACTTTGAGGTGTCGGTGGCGGCTGCAGGGCAGTAGCATGGTGAGGTCAGCCAGATGATGCCCTCGACTCTGGGGTGTGTGTGTTTTGTGTGTGTGTGTGTGATTTTTGAGGAATTCTTGCCGTGTGTGTGTGTGTGTGTGTGTGTGTGTGTGTGTGATTGATTTTGAGGAGTTCTTGCCTTTTGTCCAGGCAAAGTGTGACTGTTGTAAGAGTAATTCAAACTAACTTGATTTTATCTTAAAACGTAGACAGCTATGTTATGTGAATATGTATTGGCTAGCTTGATATGTATTGGCTCTACATATTTTTCAAGAAAGGTGGAGTAGCCAGGTGTGAACTACTGAATGTAAAACTATGATCTACTCTGTAAACAAGCATTCATGAAAAAAAAGGGAAGAATAACAGAGAAAGGTGGGATCAAGTGTAGCAACTGGTGGGGCATCCCTTAGATGCTGGCCCAGCTATGAGTGGGCAGCAGAGGCGCGATAATGGGAGCGCTCACTTGTCGTCTGCACTCTCCTTTCTCTACCAGTTTCCACCGGCTCCCTTGCCCAGCAGTATGCACACCCCAACGCCACCCTGCACCCACACACGCCACATCCTCAGCCCTCGGCCACCCCCACTGGACAGCAGCAAAGTCAGCATGGTGGGAGTCACCCTGCCCCAAGCCCTGTTCAGGTGAGAAGGAACCCTTTTGACGGATGTTCTAAGTGCAGGGTCACCCTGATGTGAGACCCATGGCCGCCCACCCTCTTCCCTCCCTCCCTCCTTTGGGTAACTGAGAGCTGTGCGACCACCTGGGCTCCCGGGCATATAGTCACGGGTCAGAAACAAGGTAAAAAATCTCATGTGGCACCTAGTGGGGGTTTGTAGTCAAGTGTATCTGAGAGTTGTGTTCTTTTGTACTTATATCTTAAGCGTCATAGTTAAGAGTCAGCTTTGACATCTATTAACTCATGGGCGCTGTACTGGGTGAGAGTCTAGAACTGAGGCCTGGCCTCCTGCTCCCCAGAGAAACTCCCCAGTCAGAGGCAGCTGGATTAGATGGCGGCCCTGGGGAGCCGTGCTCACGTGCAGAGCTCAGTTGGGGGTGTGCCTGCCACCTGCCTTCTATAACATGTTTCTCCCCATTCTGTGGCTGGTCTGCAGCACCATCAGCACCAGGCGGCCCAGGCCCTCCATCTGGCCAGTCCACAGCAGCAGTCGGCCATCTACCATGCGGGGCTCGCGCCAACACCCCCCTCCATGACACCAGCCTCCAACACGCAGTCACCACAAAACAGCTTCCCAACAGCACAACAAACTGTCTTTACGATCCATCCTTCCCACGTTCAGCCGGCGTACACCAACCCACCCCACATGGCCCATGTACCTCAGGTAAGCCCGCCGTCTCCAGCTTTCTGTCCAGACCAGGCAACTGTGGAGGTTGTTAGAGCATCAGAACCAGACACGCCCTAGCTAGAACACCCTGTGTGTGATGCCATTCGCCCCCACCCCCTCTGCCTGTGCAGTGCACGTGGTCTGGCCCGCACCGACATCGTGTGGTTTTGTGATGGATTCAGTTGTGTTGCTGGTGGGTCAGCCCTGCGCCTTTCCCAGCTCAGACCTGACAGACACCTCTGACTCTGGAATGCAGCCCCTTCCTTTCCTTCCTGTGTCTGCTTGGCTTTGTGTATAAGCTCTGTTGCCCTGTACACATGTGCGTACGCATACACCCCTGGCAGGGCGGGTGGGCTCTGAAGGTTGTTCCTGCCTCTTCCTCTATCTTCGGTGGCTGTGTGAGGTACTTGAAGGGTGTGGCCGTGTGCACTGGTGCATTGAGCTCCAGGTCCAAGCACGTCCTCCAGAGCTGCCTGGGCAATAGTGAGCTCACCTCAGAGTAGTGGGCTCCTGCATGGGGGGCTGGTCATTGCAGTGGTTGCTCCTCCCCTGGAGTGGCTGCCCTTGGCCCTCTCTGGGGCTCTTGGGGTGAACTGGCTGGATAAGATGGGGTTGGTTGCTTTTTTGTTTTTGTTTCAATAAGACTCCCTTAGGTCGGGTCTAGGTTAGACCCACCTGACTGAATGCCATTTGGGTTCAGTTACCCGATAGCTGACCCGTTGTATCCTTGGCATGGCCTCGGTTGATGCTCTTGGGGCACCGTGGGCGCTGGAATTGGTGACGTACTTTTGGTGGTGGGTGGGGTGCTGGTGTGGTCAGTGGAGTGTGGCTGAGCCCACTCCCAGAGTGCAGGGGCCCTGTGGGGGCTAGCAGAGACCGCTGGCTTGGAGGTGTATGTGTGAACACAGGGAAGCTCAGGGTGAACACAGGGTGCCTCAAACTTCGCTGTGTTTTTGTGCTGAAAGAACCAGGCTACCTCCTGTTGGGAAGCCCAACCTGCCAGGGGCTGCGTGACAGAGGCCAACAGTTCTGGCCACCTTTCCACCTGACTCCTCCATCAGGCTTATCTTCGAGCTGTGCTGCTGAGTAGGCAGGAAGCAGGGGAGGGTGGCCCAGAGGGGTCCCTCTCAGGAGGGAACCTAGCTGCCCTGCCTGCTCTCCCATCAGAATGGGGAGTTGTCCTTACAGGGTTTACGGGGAGGGAGGCTCTCAGGCCTCACTGCATCTTGCCTCATCTTTAGTCGAGAGGTGGCCAGCCAGTGGCTCAGTGCTGATCTTTGTGAGGCCCCACCCTGGGCAGGCCCAGGGCCGTAGGTAGTAAACCCCCCACGCTGGGTGCCCGTGCCCCAGCTTGCCGGACCTGCTGGAAAGTGAAGCATGTCTGTGGACTGCCTGGCAAAGCCCCCCAAGAGTAGACCGGCCTGATGGCCCACCACTGCCCTCCCCCCTGCGCCCCATCCTGAGCAAGGAGTTGACATGTTGTGTAAGCGGAGATGTTGCCTGTATGCGTAAAAGAGCTCTCTGTTTCAGGCTCATGTACAGTCAGGAATGGTTCCTTCTCATCCAACTGCCCATGCGCCAATGATGCTAATGACGACACAGCCACCCGGCGGTCCCCAGGCCGCCCTCGCTCAAAGTGCACTACAACCCATTCCAGTCTCGACAACAGCGCCTTTCCCCTATATGACGCACCCTTCAGGTGAGGCGTGTGTGTGCAGGGGCCGCCGGGGCACCCACAGCATTCTGCTCACACAGGGCGAAGGGCAGGCAGGGCCAGTGCTTCATGCTCCGCATCGGAGAGCTAGCGAGACCTGTCCTAGCGCGTGCATTCGGGCCCGTGGCGGTCAGCTCAGTGTCAGGGTCCGAGGCTTCTGGCGCCTCGGCTGTGTGTTGTGGTCTCCCGGATTCGGCTTGACAAGCAGCAGCAGCATCGGTCTGGGTGGCTGGCGCATGCTAGGACTCAGGTGGCCTTCTTTGTACTACAGGCTGGGCAGGGCAGTTGGACCTGTGGGGGGTTGTCACTAGGGCGGAGCCTGAGTGGAGCTCTGAGGACATGGAGGTGCAGGTGCTGTGTGCTGGTTGCGAGGGCAAGCGGCAGCTCCCATCCACTTGCTGGCAGCCATGGCTTTATACACAGGGGACCAGTGCTCTGCGAGCAGTGCCAGTGCGTGGCTAGCCTGGGGAGGGGGTGTGGTGAGGCCTTTTTCTGGCCTCACAGGCAGCAAGTCTTGATGGTTTTACGGCTGACTGGTGTGTCGCTATCCACCCTGGTGCAGATGGGAGGGTAAGAGTGCACCGTGTCACGAGCCTCGTTCAGCTAGCGGGAGGGGCTCACAGGCGCGTGCTGCAGACACTAGGCTTCCTTGGGCTTGCCAGCCTCCTGTTTCAATGTTCACCTTTTTCTCTTGCAGTACAAGCCCACCACCAACAGCAGCTGTAAGGCTGCCCTGGAGGAAGCGAAAGGCCAGATCCCCTCTGCCCTGCTACTGCTTCTACCAACCGGAAGCACAGAAAACTAGAATCTCATTGATTTTGTTTTTAAAAATACGTTGATTTCTTGTAACATCCAATAGGAATGCTAACAGTTCACCCTGCAGTGGAAGAAATTGGACCGAATAGCGGCATTTAGGAACTTGTGGGCTAGTCCATAATTCCATATGCTGTTCAGCCCCTTGAGCACCCCAGCTCTCTGCTTGCTGAAACTGGAAGTTATTTATTTTCTAATGATCCTCTGACAGTCATGAACACATCAGCTAGCAAAAGAAGTAACAAGAGTGATTCTTGCTGCTATTACTGCAAAAAAAAAAATTATTATAACATAAATCAAGACTTGGAACGCCCTTTTATTAAACCTAAAAAAAAAAAGTTCAGTAAATTCTTACCGTCATCTGACGGATTATTATTTATAAATCAAGTTTGATGAGGTGATCACTGTGTCCAGTGGTCCAACTTTTAAGTTAAGGGGGGGGGGACTTTTACTTTGTAGATAATATAAAATAAAAACTTAAAAAAAATTTAAAAATAAAAAAAGTTTTAAAAACTGACACCCAGGTAGTGTATGTTTGTGTGAGCTCCCGTGTGGCAGGAGCTTGGCCATTGAGCCAGAAGGCAGCTGTCAAAAAATCGCTCTTCACCTTTTTTTGGTTCACACTGTCTCCAGAAAGAGTCAAGGGAGCACAGTGCCCGAGGTGGACCAGAAGCCTGCTGCTGGAGGAGGAAGCCACCCAGCGCTGGGCAGGGCCGAGCCTGCAGCCCTCGTGACACCTCCAAGCCCATGAGCTGCCCTTCTCTGCAGAAGCCCTGAGTCGGGTCAGGAGACTGAGGTCTGGGCACCAGTAGGGGGCAGGAGAGACTTAAAAGGCTGGAGGGCAGAGGCTGACCAGCAGGGAGTGCAGTTGCTGATTGTGTGCACCCCCAAGACACCTGTCAGTGAGCAGAGGGAGGCTTGATAGAGGCCACTGTCAAAGAGCAAGGCAGTAAATCAAGGTTCTGAAAAGTGGTTTTTAATTCACATAGAGCAATTTGTACACAATAGCAATAAGTTACTCGTACAGTACATAAAACAATAATACATTGAAGTCTGCCAGATACAATGTCAGCCACCATCTGTGTTGTCACGATGTGTCTGTCACGTGTGTCCTGGTTAGGGGCAGTGGAGAACCGTCTGGTCCCTCTGCCCTGGGGTGTGGGGGTGCTATGAAAGTGGGCAGGCGGGATTTCAGTTGCACCCTCAGGGCAGAGGCCAAGGCCTTGATTTTAGGTTCAGAAACAAGTAAAAATAGTGTTCTCTGGCCCAAGATTATAATGACTGCTATTTCTTCTTCCTACACGGTCCAGAAATGGTCAAAAACAAGGCAGAAGATTTCTACCAGACAAAGCCGTATGGATTGCTGGTCTAGAATTGAAGGCAGGTTAGTCAACTTAATTCTTTGGTGCTGGTGACTTGTTAGTGTGAAGAGCTGTCTGGGGTCAGATGGAGGTGACCGTGCTGGGGGGCTGTCCCAGAGAGCTGTCCAGCATGCCTGTTCCCTGTCATTAGATAACGGGAGGGGTGGGGGTGGGGTGGAAAGTCGGCATGGAGTGACTTAGTGGCCCGCCTCCTGCCATGAGGGTTTTTGTCAGGACAGGTCTGAGCTGTGCTGGTGACAAGGCCATGTTCAGGAAGGAAGGGGTACTGGGGTACATTTTCTTAGATACTTCAGCCTGGAGCAGTCTGAGGGGGTGACATCCACTTCTGCATGACAGGTTCAGAGCTTACAAAGGCTTTGCAGCCAATTTGCCTGGGCCTACCACTGGAGGTGGCTGACAAGTGGCAGTGCCCTGGCTGCTGCACGAGGCGCTCTCATGTCTCCTCGCTTTTCCAAAGTGGTTGGCACTGCTCCTTTGGGCCGTACACAACTACTGGCACGTAGGAAACAGGCTGCTTTAGATCTGATCAGGTTGGATCTGCTGTCATAGCACTGGGGCTTGTAATTTTTAAAGTGATACATAAGAAACTGACTGCCCACCCCTAAACAAACCCTCAGGAAGTTCTGGAAGTGGGAATCTTGACTATAGAGGGCAGCCCAAGCCCCCCTCAGTTCTGGTGGTTGGGACTACAGGGTGCGAATGCTACAGTCTACAAATGCTATCCTTTGCTAAACAACAGCCCTGTTCCTAGAAGTGTCTCCTCTGCAGAGAGCTGGGCAGCTGTCCAGAGCTGCTGTCCTCTCCACACACTAGTTATGGGAATGGTGTGCCTAGTGAAGGGTAGGTGGAGGTGGCATGTACCCATCCCTTCAGCAACTATAGCTGCAGGACACCCCAGCACCCAGCTGGGGGGCGGGGGTGGTGTCATACTCAGAGGGTGGTTTCTACTGGGATTGACGGCCGAGACTACACACCCGGGGGTCAGTTTAGTAAACCATAGAGGCTACAGGTGAAGGGCTTACTAGAAGCTGGTGGGTGGGGTGGGGCACGACTCCTCCAATTAATTCTTACCATGAAGCTGCTAAAATCAAAATCCAGTTTTTTATTCATAAGGCACCAGGGTAGAGCTGTCTCTTGCCACCCTGCCTGAATTTCCCTGAAAGGGTGACAGGCATGCTTCGCTCCTCTTTGCACAGCAAGAACAGGGGCCTGTCCTGAGAGTGCAGGAGACGAGAAAAGCCAGTGTGTCGGCTGGGGCGGTGAGCCCCTTCAGGGAGGGTTTGCATAGCTGTCTCTGGCTGCAGAAGTGGATCGCACAGGGGTTAGTTTAAACAGTGCAATGAATAAGCAACAGTTTAGAAACCTGAATCCTTAGGGAAAAAAATTAATCTTGAGGTAAAATGTTTAAAAATCATTTTTGACCTTAGCTTGTCCTGCTGACAGCACTGTCCTGAAGCTGAGGAGAGGCAGGGCCAGGTGTGGTCCCCTGTGAGAGCCAGGTGAGAATCCAGGGCTGTTAGTGTTTTGGGCTTCCTGAGGACGGACCCCTAGTGGGAAAGAGAACAGGTTTCCGCTGCAAGCGCTAGGCCTCACCCTTCAGTAGCGCTGAGCTGCGAGGGGACCAGGACTCCATCTGTAAACGATGAAGGAGGAAGCCAGGTGGCAGTGGGGCTCCTGGGGATGCCCTGGGGCAGCTGCCCGTCAGAGGGGTGTGTACTGGTTGTCAACGGCCCGCAGACGTCTCCGAGAGGATGTGTCCAGTTCATAGTCTGAGTCTTGAGCCCATGGGTCTGACCCCGGCTCCAGGAGCCGCAGGCTGTTGGCGAGCTCCTCGGGTGAAGGCACCCGGTGGAAGATCTGCTCAGGGGGTGAAGAGTGGCCGGGGGTCGTGTCAGGGCTCGGCCCCCAAGGACAGGCAGGGGAGCCAAGGTGGAGAAGGCCCGGCTCTGAGTCCCAGCGGGGCAGGGAGAATGGGAACAGGACCGTGTGGCAGGAACCTAGACAAGGAACGGACGAAGAAGACCCCTGTTAGGGTAAGTGACGGCCTGCCCACAGGCCTGTGTGCCCTGGGTCCACCAGCTCCTTGCCCCACCTGGTGGCTGAGTGACGACAACCACGTAGCTGGACAGGCGGACATCGCAGGCGGCGCCGCACTCGAGCGGGATGGGTGCGCGCTGGAAGTGGTGGAGCATGTGCAGCACGGAAGGGAAGCGCAGGTGCTGTACTCTGCACTGGCCACGCTCGCTCAGTGACAGGCGCAGATGCTGTGGGAGACAGGCGCACACTCAGGACCGGACCCCTGCGTTACCCAGCCTGGGGCCGCCCCGCCTGATGTACCTTGGCAATGCCCTGGAAGTTGAAGGTGAGCACGTACTCGCCGCGCCGGGTCTCGCTCTGCCGCACCAGGAAGACACCATGGGCTGCGGGACCCTGCAGCTGGACCAGTTGGGCTGCCTTCACTCGAGAAATGGGGCCGTGGAACCAGGGGTAGCATGACAGGAAGTGGTCTGTTTTCTGGCAGGCTGGGTCCAGCAGCCCCCCAGGAGAAGCACCTGGCAGGAAGGACAGGGGTGGTGGGGATGGTACATGCCTCCCCCCAGGGACCCCAGGACAAAGAGTCAGCACTCACCTTGGTTGAGTGAGTCTGTGCTTCCCTCAGGGGAGCTGGCTGGGCAGGGGCCTGGGGCTGAGGGCACTGGCAGCTCACAGTCACTCTCGGGCCTGTTGTGGGGGGAGAAAGGGGGTGAGGAATGGGCAGAGGGCAGGGCTCCTAGACTGGGACCACTGGTGCCTGGGCCTTACCCTCTGCCAGCAGACTCCTGGAGTTCAGCCATCCATGCATTCAGCTGCTGTTCATCCCCCACTTCAAAGATGACATCTGTTTGGTCCTTCACCTGGTGGGGCAGGGCAGCTTACAGGCTCTGCAACCAGGCTGT